GTTGTGGACTATATCTTTCAGCTGGTTGAAGAACACGTTCAGTTCGGTCCCATTATTTGTACAAGTTCATAAGAAACAGCTGATGATAATGACTTTCTTTTAACGCGCAAGATGGAGACGAAGAATGGCTAAGCGCGGTGATAGGATTTCGTACGAGGTCACTAGGCAGGAAAGAGACGGATGTCCGACGAAGCCAACGGCTCCGACATTTCGTGATAGAGCCTTCCCTCCACGAATGAGAAGGATTCCATCATCTAGTTGGCTTTCGTCGATCTTCCTGCTTTTCGTCTCGTAAAGCAACCACATGGAATTTTGAAATTTTATGCGAAAGCGGATTCAAGGAGAGCGTGAAGGTCGGTGTCCGAAAAGGCCTTTCAAGCGTTGTAGGTTCAGAGCAAGAAGCGATCTCTGTCGCTTGCCGTGAGCGTGCTCGTTTTTTCCGTGCAACCGTAATTTGTCTAAATATTTAGAGTTATTAACGGCTAGTATATAGAGTTGTCATTGGTGTAAATATTATTAATTGTCTTGATGTATATGAAGATTGTTGTGACATTCTTGTGCATGATAATGTGAAAAGGGGAATAAAGGATAAAAAATGATAAAGCTCTCGGCGTTGATCAATCCCTTTAGGGATGCGCCATGCATTCGACTTCATTAAGCATAGTTTGGAGGTGATTGAGTGGATATCTGGTTTTAACAATGACTCGCAGTGGTCTACCAATGTATCGAGCCAGTACCGCTATTCTCCGAGACAAGTCTGGTACCAATTTTCCAACTCCGAAGGTTGGAAGGCTAGGCTTGGTGGGCCGTGGGCGCAAAGATCGATTCCACGTGTGTGTTGCAGTGCGCCTTCAACCACCACATCACACGTGCCCTGAAAAGTGGAACAATTGGAATAATGCATTGTTATGTTGGTATTTTAGAAATGGCGCAAAATTCATGAATTTAAGCTTATAACTTTTCTTTTCGCTAACAACTAAAGTGAAGTAATAAGGCGATTTATTACCTTCAGGCTAAATAACGCAAGGATAGTTGAGCTTACACTTAGTTATAGTTAGCGCGCCGTGTGCCCTTTGATTTGTGAAGAAAATATACTGAAACTCTAAATAACCGTGCGAAAAAATATGCACATTTAGACGGACAGGAGAATTGAACAATATTAAAACAAATCATATTACACATTCGCTATGGGCAAGTTAAAAAACTGAAAACTTAGTCAGAATGATGCTGAGATATTTGCAAAACTATAGACCGCAGGTGTCTGCGATGGGAAACGAACGCGCTATTATCCTTTCTGGGACTAACGCGTTCACCACTACGCCATGCGAGTCCTTCGCTTCGCTTGTTTCTTAGCTAACTGAAAACCTTTTTTAAGAAGCAAAATTGTGGTGAAACTGCGTAAGTTAAGACGTTTTTTGATTTTTGATCAATAGAAAATGGAAAGAGAAGTCCTTGAGATTACAAAGTAACAAAGCTTCAAACAGAATTTGAATTAATCGGAAGTTTCTGTTTGAAATCACCGCTTTTTATTGTATTCAATTCAAAAGTTAAAAAATCCATGTCAATGAGGGTTATGGAGGTGACAAGTTCTAAACACCATGACTGTGCATTTCAGGAAGGCGTATTCTCTCCACACATCAGAAGCGGGAAGAAGGTCCAGGTCCAGCTTTTTCTATGCTATCGTTGAAGCAATTTTATTGCCTACAACTGTCTTGTTGAAGAGCGCGATAAAATACCACTGGTTTTTATTGTAGCTTTTCTAAATTTTGTCTAATATATTAGTAATAGCACATTACTCTAACAGCCATTTTGCAATATCCATTTATTATCGCGGAATTCTACACTCACTTTCTTTCTGAAGGTGCAGTTCTACGATTTAGTATTCATATGCTGCCATGTTCACCAGGAAATTATTCTCTTCACTGAACCAAGTCTACTCAAATCATCAGAAACAACGGATACAACCACAGCGATGCTGAGAGATGAGCACAACTCGGATGCTCAAATAGGCTTCGAAACAGCGATTGTCCTTTTTGAAGACTCACGTGCTATACACCGCAGCAACCGAGGCCATTGCTTTCCCTCAGCCAATTTCGGGTACGAGTTCGAAGTCCACCTGAGGTTGCGAGTCTCTGTTATATACCTTTTCTTAATAGCTGTTGAGCGTGTGCAGTGGAGAGTTTAGAAACGTTTTCCAAAGCACACGTGGTCGTCGATTATATTTCCTACCCCGATGTAACCAAACCTTCCATCCTCTCCCCCTCCTTGTTAGCTTGTATATAATGATGAAATATACTGTTTGACACTTCGCTAAGTTCTAGGAATTGTCCAAATATGTATCTAATCATCTGTACGATGCTTAATGAAGTCTAGTGGTCGGTGTGTCACAAGGTGATCAACATTGGACGCTTTATCCCGTCATCTCTTCATTCATCGTTTCAAAATAATTAGTTCAAAAACTTTTATGGCTTTCATGTTCAGATCAAGCAGTGGTTCACTCCAAACTCCAGCTCCGTCTCGATGTGCTCGGAAAGTCAATGCGTCTGTCATAAAATCCCAACACAAGCCAAATCAGTGAATTTTGTGTCGTTTCCCAGAAAACTTGCCCAGAAACCATCTTTATGAGGAATAGCAGTTAACGGCTACGTATATAAATAAGCAAAATTGTGTAGTTGATAGAGTTAAACAATATTTTACTAGAATTGAATCGATAAACACATCAAAGAATGAAGAAAACAATCTATTGTGTCTAAAGTTTCGCGGCCTTTTGTGTCTCACTATCTGTCCGGTAGCCAACATCAATTGTACGGACGGTTTTGACAGCGTTGACAGTGATTCAAAGCCTCCAACAAAAGTTTTACTACAGTAGTGTCAAAGTGTGGTACACAGCCGCCTTTAGGTCTCACTGTGAATTCGCTGGAATGGATAAGAGAATCATTTTAACAAATGGTTTTAAATACGCGCTAAGTGGAAAATCTTATTTTAATTGATTACCATTTGCTGAGCAATGGATTCTGCAACGATATACTATACAGATTTTTTTCATTTCTACAGCATATGGATATCTAGATTCTGGAACTGTCTCTGTAGCCAGCCTGAGTTCTTAGCCTTTGTTGTTCTAGGGTGAAGCAAAAGCAAGAAGTAGCGGAGCCTACTACAAAGCAGCCCGAAGAGGTGGAGCAGAAGCAGAGATTAGGCGGCAAAAAATCATGGTAACTGCGGTAAAACGACCAATTTTACAAACTTAGCACTTACATTTGGCAAGAATTGTGCAGTTACACCTGTTGTTGTACGTTCGAGGATGTCGAGAGTCTAAATTCCACTGGTTTACAATGAATCATGCTCATCTGCATCAGTTGCAGTTTCGTTAGCCATCGATTGACTTAAATGCATACCGTTGAAGTTCGGCCCTTTTGCGATCCTGTGCTACTTAGCATATCTCTCTTCCTCAGAATAAGTGATGAGTATCTCATTTTCACTGTCGCAGTTAAACACTCACGAACACCAAAAAGTGCTATAGTGAGTAACTTTGGAGAATCTTCTTATCTTTGCAAAATCCCGATATATAACTGATTGAGTTTTGGAAACGAACATTATCACGATAGGATTACAGTCTAACTATGAATTGCGGGATTCATTCTTTATGTAGAAAGTACTCTGATTTTGGCACATTAGTTTTGAACAATGTTTTAACTTTTATTTATTGACCACCCACTCTTCATGGCAAGATACGATATTGGTAAATAGAGCCACAAGGGTGCTGTGATATAAGCAATAGTCGAGACAGCACGTGGGCTTCTAACCTTCGATTACCCTTAGCGGTTGCTTCAGCATAGCTGGATTCACTGCCGATTTGTGTTCCCTGGACCATTCCCGTTGACGGATGATTGTTGGTAGCATCGAAAGGGTAGAAATATGGCTGAGAAAAGGCAAAACAAGGGGCTTGGCTGCTATTTGCTATGGCACCATGCCATGAAAAAACAACAAGCAGCAAACAAAAGGCAGAGCAATTTTGATTTCCAAAATAGCAAAATTTGCATACTTTTCCATCATTGACGGCACTTCTGCAGTTAACGAACGCCCAAGACAATGCTCCAGGTTGTTTTTCATTGACATCTAGTATTATTTTCATAATTTTCAAATAGAAACCACCTAGATATTTTTTAGGTTTGTATTCTTCATAGCGTCTTATCATCGGGGTGCATATAGCGCAACGGACTGAGCTACGCTCTAACACACGCGTAGCCTTTGTTTCGATCTCGCCTCCGGTTCACCGAAACCTCCTTCTATCTTAAGTCGGCAAATTGTAACTAGGCTTGTACGGAGGGACAAAAGCACTAACTTGTTACATCGGTGAACACCGCAAGTCGTTGCGGTCACTGCAGGCCAGATGTGAGTTAAATCGTCATGAACACTCTCGCAACGACGCCTAATCTCAGAGAACTAGTTACACCACACGTCGTGCTCAAACCAGCTACCTATAACCTCTGATTGGGGTCGGAGCACTGAGTACGGGGTAGCGCGTGTTTTGCACGGTATCTTTAAACATTGTGCGTAGCCCGAAGCCTGTTAGCTTAGGTAAACTTTAATACAGGTACATAAAGAGATTCACGCGTTGATACTTTTATTTGATGATAACTGTCATTTTTCATAGATAAACTTATTACCTAGGAATCACAAAAACGGATTTGCTTCACCAAGCTCGCTGAAAAGAAAACATTGAGTGAAATAAGTGAAAAAATGTAAAGAATATAGAGGACATCGAACCATGACTGTGTTGAGAAATTTTGTCCATCGAATTAGAATAAGTGACTTTAAGGTCAAGCAGTTTGACTCGTCAAACACTTAGATCAACGCGAGGTGATAGTGAGGCTCAGTCATCTCGAAGCAGTTCGAGGCTCACTTCGCCACGTCATACTCGGCTTTCGTCAAGTGCAGACGGCTCTAGTATTCCAAAAACAAGTTGTGCAGTGCCTGAAAATACTGCTGTCAACAAAAGGATGGTAGCTGTTCAAGCTGCTAATGATGGGAAACTGATTAAAATTATGAACGCGAACAATGTTTATATCTCCTGCCGATGTTGGTACGTAGAATATGTGCCTTATTCTCAAGTTTTCTTTAATCCAAGCTTTGTGATATCGGACTTTGATGTAGCACTGTATTTTAGTAGAGCTGCAAAACAACATGCCTCAAAGCATGGCAATTTCTATCTGAGCATTGGCCAACCGTCTCGAGCACCAGTGTTGAACGATGACATGCCGTCGGCAACTTGTAAACGTGAAAATAAAACGGTTAGTAGCTAGTCGTAAAAGAACTGCCATCAAGTTGGTGGGTGGGTAGGTGAGCTATTTACTGAAATTCGAGCACACGAGCCGGATGATGATCAATAACCTCTTCAAAGATGCATTTTATTGTCTTTAAGGCGTAGCTTCGTTATAAAATTACTTCGGTGATTGGATAGGTGATAAGAGATAGGCGATTTTCTACTTCATTACTCGATGTGTGTATGTATGTATGTATGTATGTATGTATGTATGTATGTATGTATGTATGCATGTGTGTGTGTGTTTGTCTGTGTGTGTTTCATGCCGAGTTAATAAGTGTATGCAACTAAAGAAATCAGCTAAATGCGATAGCGAAGTAGGACGTGAAAATTTCCATTGCTCCGACATCTGACATTATTGCTGTCGAAAAGAATGCTCCCGTAGGTTTAAAGGTATCACTAGCTGAAATCATGTATAGAACGAGATGCACTGTTTTCAGAGAGCGGATTCGAATTCGTTGTATGCTGACGGGACTAAAAAGATACCGCGGTTAGTCCTGCGGTTTTTCTTCAACCAGTTAAACATGGATTCTGACATGTTGGACATGAAATGGACAGACATGGATTCTGAAAAAAAATATGAAAATGACAAACCCTGATGGTCTTCATTCACATGCTTACCTTACCAAAAACTCATGCACTCACAGTTAAATAAAGATGGACATCAACTGCAGCGCCTCATGGAGATGTTGGAGGCTTGCGGAGCGGTGTGTAAGAGAGAAAATCGTGGTAGTTTTTCGTATTCATGGCGATGATATTAAAAATTCGAAGAAAACATAAGAAACAACCACCAGAATTTTTCGTTCTTTATTCAGATAAAACTATCACATTTAATCATAACGGGAAAACTATTGAAGTAGAAACTGATAGCTCAGCAATCCCATCACGGCTTGAGATGTCTATCTTTAGAAAAATTTTAGCGCTCGTACACCACCGAATAAACCGCCACCCTCAAAAGGTTTCAAAGATTCCAGTGAAGAAGGTAATGACTAATTTTCTAGTTTCTTCAATAATCTGTTGAGTTGTCGACTTTAGTTGAGAAAAAAGACCCAGAAGTTTAGTGTGTATTTGTTTTAGTGAACGTCGACGATGATCTCGCTAGGGATCATTTTAATGTAAAGCTTGATAGTAAGTTTCTTCTTTGATAAAAATCTTATTTTTGCAGACATAATAATCGTTGTAGCAATTTTCAACGCTTGAAAAAAAGTGTTACTTTGCTCCTGAAATGTTCACTTTTTTGTTATTACTTGTTTCCAGGAGACTTGCAAAAAGAAAAACGCTCAAAGAAGGTGAACTTTTAGCGTTAAAATATAAAGAGAATACGACGAGGATTTCTAATAGCCATTACTGCATTGCGGGGCGTGTAGCGCAATGGTTTGAGATGCTGTGCAATACACCTGTGGTTGCCGGCTCGATCTCGCCCTTGAGGCTTACCAAGCCGCCCATTCTTCCAGAGTTGAGAAATTCGTAATAGATTTACTTGAAAGTGTAGCACTGTGTTGATATATCGATACGACATCGGAATTCATTGTATAGGCCAGATATGCATTCAATCATCTCTGAGGATACTTAGTGAAGTCGAATGCTTAGCGCATCTCTTAGGGATTGATCAACGCTGAGAGTTCCATCTTTTATCCTTTAATATTGCACTAATTTGCACTAATTTTCGAGCCTAAAGTTTTCGCGCCTCGTCCAAAAAATCCTTTAGATTTTAGGACCACCTCTTCGTTCACGATTGTTTCACGTCCAAGAAAGATCCGCCTCCTACATTCTTTGCGAACACATGAAAACACACTTTTTCGCTGTAGTGATTAATTGCTAAACTTCGTTATGTTGTCGCTCATTCTGTCTCTGTTCAACTAAAATATCTTATAATAGAACCTTCTGACTTACGATGAAATAGTGAAAGATAATTTGCGTGTAGCGCAGTGGCTAGAAGCGCCGTGGAATTCACAAATTGCCTCTCATTCAATTCCTCTACAGCGGCTCATCAAACCCATCATCCCACTGGACACCTCTACAAAGCTTCTTGGAGTCAAGTATACGGTGCTTTCTTATATTATAGGTTGACGTCCGACTTCTCGCGTTTTAATACGCAAAAGTAGTGAGAAGTGGTAGTGATGTCCGTCATCACCAGCGTGGTGCTTGATTCCGCTGCGAGTAAACAAAGCTTCTCATTCTTCCGACGTCGGGAAATTGGTTCCGGACATGTCTGAAAAAAAACCACTCTCTCCATTCCAATTGGGAACACTCCAGCCCGGCTATCTCAGGACTCCAGCGAGAATTGCTCAACAAGTATTCTACAACACTCAAAATGAAATGAAAATACTCAAAGCACAACAGAAGTCACACGTAAAGTTGAAAGATCTTCGTGGACAATGGATGCGAGGAAACGAATTGAATGTGAGGAGTGCTGGGATCCTCACAGTAGACGTGAAGACGGGTCAAATAAAATAGAATTAAAAAGTACACAAAGGAGCAGTAAATTCTTGCAAACTGTTCCAGATTCTGCCTAGGGCACGTACGCCACCTCGATCGCCAGTTTCTTGTTCTCAGCGTCGTTCACCAGCAGGATTTAGCCCGCCGATCCGAACGGCTCCATCGAGTACACTGAACGTTTCGACATATTTCGACGAAACCTCCAGTTCATCTTTCTGTAGGCAACTGCCAGCGAAAGAGAACGTACAATCGATTGTGACACGACATATGTAAGTAGTACTTCGATTGATAACACTTTATCGTGAAATATAACTTCAACGATGCTGAGATATTTGCAAAACTCCGGACCGCAGGTGTATGCGGTGTGGAACGAACACGCGCTGTTGTCCTTACCGGGGAGCAGCGCACTTCACCACCACACCATCCGGGTCCTTCGTCTTGCCTGTCTCTCAGCTAGTTCTATCGATCGTCGCTGTGCCTGGATATGCAAATTTATCAGTTCCAAGTGGCTTGTTGGTTTGATGTGAGTCCTGTCACATTGGACCCAAATTTCAATAGGCACGCAAGATGAGATGTGGGAAGCAGTCCCTCTACTCTGAAGTCTCCATTTTTTCAAATTACTGTCGTCTGCTTGATAATTCAAAAGACCAACTTTCTATAAATCTCGGTTTGATATACCTATTTATACGTTCCTATAAACTGATCTTTTTGTGCTGATGCCAGGTTGGTATAAGTCTTTGTTATCGTTGCTGTTGGTATTGTTGGTCGATGGCTGACGTTTCGACTATGTCACCTTCTTCGTAGTCTGGACGTATTTTGTGTAACAGCAGCCTTATATTCGGTGAAATATAGTATTAATGAAGATCAACCTTTCAAATAGATGCCGTATTAAAGAGCCTACTCGTAGTGCTGTTACGACTGGGAGTGGCAAACGCGTTGTTCACATGGGCCGATTCAAAAAGTCATTCTGAAATAGTGAGGCATTCTTCTTTCCGGTTCATCTTTGGATCTTTAAAATTTGTCCAAAACGCCTCAAGGGTCTTGCGCGTTGATGTTTTTGATTCCTGCGCTAGGATCCGAACATTCAGTTCAAAATCATCGCCGTTGTGCTTTTGTGCCCTATATGTACCTAGAGAAGTGCTTTGACGAATTTTCACTTTCTCATCTCTCGTCAAAAGTCGTCAATCCCAATTGAAATTCAATCACACCTGAACAACTCGGGGGCCAGCCCCACTCGTAACAGGACAGTGAGTAGCCTTCTTGATCAATATGACGTTTATTTGAAAGTTTGATCTTTATTAATACTATAAGTATTCCACCGAATATAAGACTACTCAGCCAACCAACCACATCAACAACAACGACAACAAAGGCCTATACCAACCTCGCATCAGCTGGACAAGATGTGTTCGTAGGAACATATCAATAAATATGACGTCTACTTACTTGATATCAGTATGCAAGCGTTGAATACTGTGAATAGGAAGTTGCACTCGTAACAACACGGCTCTGAAGAAGGCGAAATCGCCGAAGCGTCTGCCATCGACCAACAACACCAGCAACAACAACAATGAAAACCTGTGCCAACCGAAATTGTGAACCTCGCATCAGCTCAACAAGATCCGTTTATAAGATCATATAAATAAATGTATCAACTATTTATGGCTAAGTTTATAGAAATTCGGTGTTTTGAGTTATATGTGAATAAGCATAGATTCAAAAATGGCGCGTGCGAACTGGTTACGGTGGCATCATCAGTTTGTATACATAACAATAAAGGCGCTTCCATTTCCTAGCTCTGCGATAAAACGATCTGAGATGACGACGTTCGACACAACGCTTTACATCGAAGATCATCAGAATGAAATCTCGCACAAATTGACAATTCAAGCAGATATTCAAGACAAGAAGCTCGTCAATCTTGCTATGAATGGAAAACGATGCAGGTGAAGTATAATGTACGATGTCAGTAATTTGAAAAATGAAGATTGGTTTGGTCCGTAGGAAAGGGAGAGGCTCTCCATTTAGTGGTAGAAGAAATCGCAATCGAATAAGGCTTTTTGAAGCTTTTTTAAAAACCATCGCAAAAAACCACAAGCCCAGCAGAGTTATAAGGCGGACGTTACAGGCGACACTAACTGAATAGGTTTCATGTTTCCTCCTTGTTATTCTGAATAACGTTTGAATTATGAGTGTCTTTATGGTTTTTGAGTGTCAGAGAAAGTTTTTACACCAAAAACCGATCTTGACGCGAGAATATTCGAGTTTCACTTATCGTTTATCATCGAGAAATTTCAGGATTCGATAGGTGTCGATTTGGACTATGCACGATAGTTATAGTTTTAATGGTTCTTGTGGTTCTGCTTGTACTGCGCATTTTCAAAAAAAAAAAATAAATTTATGTACGTGTGAGCTCTCAAGGACTTTTATGGTGGTTTTTTTTGTTTATTCTCTGATATCCAGAAAAATCTGTGGAACACTGGACATTGCTACTTGTACTAGCAGTGATGGGCCCTTAGAGTGCCATGAAAGTTGATTCTTGCTTGAAAGAAATCTGTAATGAATGCTTTGTCTTTGGTTCAACCCCGGGTTAAGCGCGCTCTCTTCCTCATCTCTCAGACTTGGCAAATTAATAAGAAACTTGTCTGAGTGGAAAGTATATTGCCATGATAAAACACTGCGCCCTAGCCAATCACTGTATGGACGAAATATGGATTTGGACCATCTGTGTGATGCCCAATACACTAGAATTTGTGAGTCATCATTAAGGCGTTTATGAACGTCAAACGCTTTTATGCTTTATCACCAGAGGTTCTATTTTTCATTAAGACACCAGTATTCAGTGAAGATTCCTTACAACATTACAAGTGGTCGGTGCTGTGTCAGGACCAAAGCAGTATTTGTCATTCGCACAAGCTGTCATTAGAGCCTTTTCGCAGCACAGCAACACTGACAGAAAAATTAGTGAAATAAGATGCGCTGATCATTCATGCTGTGGTTAAATTATAGACGGTTTACAATGGTGCTGACAAAACGATTTGTGGTAAGTATAGGCGGTATAAGGGTGCGTGTGGCGCAGTGGTTGGAGGCGCCACTGCAATACACACGTGGAAACGATCGCCACTCCCATGGCCCACCAAGCCTTCCATACCTCCGAGGT